CCCTCACTGCCACCAAGTCAATGCTGGCTCATAGAGAACCCTGTGGGTTTCCAAGATTTTAACTGTGTTCAGCAGTAGAAAGCTCAGTTTTTCTCCCGTGGAGTTGCTGGTGGTTTCGAACTGCTGGCCACGAGGATTGCACCCCAATATATAACCACTCAGAGACACACACACACACACACACACACATCTTTGTATATGATGATAAAAACTGTGGAAATCAGTGAGATCATTCAGGGAGATAGACATAGCTGGAAGTAAGGGTTAAAGAGTAGTCTTCTTAGAAAAGCCTATCTTTAAGGACTAGGGAGCAGGAAAAAAGGGTCAGCAGGAAATAAAACCCAAACCCTTTTCTCCTTTAGATATCCAGGCTTGCTCAGGTCAGAAAATGACGCTGTGCCTCTTACGTGTGGGCCTTTGTTGGCATCTTGGTTTGTAGCAGCAGTGATGTGTTTTGCTGTGGCCTTTTTTCTACATAACACCATTAAACAGAACAAAACCCACAAGTCCTCAGGTACTGGACTTAAACAATCTTACTCAGTAAAATGTTTGCTGTTATCTTCTGAGGTCTGGGCGTCCAAAGGTAGCAAACATTCTTTTAGGCTAATTTCTAGGGTTGGCCAACTCTTCCCAGCTCCCTTCATTCCGGGCTATGAATGCTCCCATACAAACAGATACGGAAAGGCTGAGTAACTCTAAGAGACTTCACAAGCAGGATGTGCAGCGTTTAGCTTTATTTAACAACTTTTGCCTAATAAAGGATTTTTGCTGTATTATCTGCAATTGATATGATTTTACATTTGCCCATAAAGTTCTTAAGATTTGGTTGATGCATTATTATTTCTAACTTTTAAAAAATTACTGTTTTATCAGGTATTTACTCATCATCTATGATATGTAAATGCTTTTCCACATTTTAGAAGGTGTGAGTTCTTTGGAGAACTTCTAATTGAATGTTTTTCTTAATAGGTCTCACCCACACACCTAAATTTGTTTTCTTCATGTACAACTAAGCATAAGATTTCCTGAAAATATCAATATTTAGTCTACTATTTCTTAGACTATAAGTAGATCTACTGATAAATTCTAACAAGCATAAATTTTAATACCAGATTTTTTCATTTAAACTTAAAATTGTAAATCTTTAAATTTTAATCTTTTAAAATATAACAATCATTTAAATATTTGACTTTTGACTGTATCTAAAAGAAAATTTGTCATCATCTTTAAAAATAAATACTGAGTAAATAAAAATAAATACTGAGTTCTGTGATTTAATTATTCCCACATTTAATGATAGTAACCAATACTTATTTGAATACTTCCAATGTGCAAAAAATTGGTTTACATGTTTTATATATTTAAAAATTTAATATGTGACTATTATAATACCCATTTTCTGCAGTGTGGCTTAAAACAACTTTCTAAATTCAAAAAGTGGACAAGTTAGGATTTGATACTAGGTAGGCTGACTCCAGACTTTACATCTAAATCATTCTGCTTTCATATTACTAATTTCTCAAGATTTATTTATTTCATTGTTTTATCTTACCTATTTGTTTCTTGCAATGTAAGACTCTTGTGAGAAATTTTAAGCACGTGGGAATGAATTCAATAACACTTCCTTTTAATTTGTTCAGACATATTTAACTTTATTTTTATGTAACTATTATATTCAATACTTGACAACCTAGAATGTTGTTCTGTTCTTTACCATCAATCAGTGTGACCGAACAATTCCAACTACTTTGTTAAATAACCTGAGGGGAGAAACTTCACTTCTGGCGAGGAGGAGGAACGTGAGCATCTAATTAAAGGTATATATGTGTCCCCAAGAAAGTTTAATTCATACAAAATTTTGTATGCCGTTTCAGAAGCTTAATGTGTTTACCAGGCCACTGTTATGGGTCCCTCATAGAGTAATGCACTGAAAAAACAATCCCACATTTACCAAGTTAATCCTCCAATCCTTCTTCATTCCATTTCTCACAGAAGCAAAGCACATGTGTCCTAAAGTCTTTTCTTTTGCACAGTCCCAGAACTGGAACTCTTGTCATGGCGACCTTGTACAGGCTAAGACGTTAATACAACTTACCCAGGACCTGTGGAAAAGTGGGTCAGGATTCCCAATGCCCTGGAAGCATCCACTCAATTCATTTCCAGTCCGACAAACAGGCTTCTTCATGACTAACTGGAAGGTTGGTTTCTGTGTTCACATGGACAAACTCTCGAGTATTTATAAAGTTAAACTATAATGAGACTGTTATCTCTTGTTATTACAGAGCTTCCTGGATACCAAGGGAGCAGATTATACAGAGTATCTATGAGATATTTTACATTTGATTTCAATCACTCTTGGGACTTAAAATCCCTGAATCATTCCGGTAACTAATGATGACTCAAGTTGTGATGCTTCGGGCATGTTCTCAGATGACTTCCAAGTCAAGAGACTGGTGCAATGCCAGGAGACAGTCTTCCTGCCTTTGTCAGGACTTCTACTGAACAGGCTACTCTGAAGATGTAGCTGGCGTGAGGACCCAGGAATATTTAGTAGGGCACTAGGCAAAATTATGCAAAGACTGCATGGCTGGGATGCATGATGGGGTATTTTTGCCTATAAAAAAAAGACAGTTGGGGCTAGCATATTTATCACAATAGGTAATGTAAGAGAAAGCAGTCTTATTTTTCCTACTGTTACTTATTTCCCGTTGGGTCAAATTGAGAAATAAAATTATAATCAAAACCAGGTCAGAGACTAATGTTCTAATGATCCCATAGGTCTCCTTCCCTTCCCTTCTCCCTTCCTCATCCCCATCTGGATTGAAACTGAAGCAATCAGTAGTACCACTGTCAAGGTCAGGGTCTGTTTCTCAATGCAGCTAGACTTTCCTCATGGTCCCCAGGGAGAAGCGATTAGAACTTGGCCTTCTAGGTCAATAATTGCAGCAATTAGATTTAGTACGACCCTAAAGTATTTTTGCAAAGAAAACTGCTCTTAATCTCAACATTCAGAGCAAGGCAGAGCTAAGGAGGAGCAGTCTCAAATTGAAAAGTACATATTCTATTTCTCAGTCACTCATTCAGATTAACAGGGAGAAAACTGCAGAAGTACGCTGAAGGCAGATTCAGAGATGGTTAAAGTAGCCCTTGCTTATCAGTTTTATCATATTAAATAATTTGTACCTGTCTACTGTCTACTGTCAATTATCTTTTCTTCTAGTTATAGGAGAACATTTCCAGATAACAGGGTGTAGGGTGAAATTTGATTTCGATTTGCTAATGGAGGAAGTCTGCAATTTTGCAAATGTCAAATGTGATCACAGAAATAGGACTTTTATTTCTAAAGCTTTAAAACTGGTCTGCTTTTTTGAGCAGGGACTGAAAAGACTGGTAAGGAAAGAAGGAGGAGTGGACACAGAAAGCACAGGGAAGAAATGGGATAAGTGAGGTCACATCGTGGGACAGCGATCGATGAGATGTAACAAAATATGTACGAATTATTGAACGGAAAACTGGTTTTCCCTGTAAACCTTCACCAAACCCACAATAAAAAGTTAAAAATAAATAAAAGGACTGGAGCAAGAAAAGTCAGGTGAACTACTGCCATTCTTGTCACAGTTCATGTCTAACTCCAGTTCGAATTCTAAAGATACATTCTTGCCAATATTTTTCCTATGAAATATTAACTATTAGTGAATCAATTATATTATTGTTGTTATTATTAGGTGCCTATTAGGTTGCGGTACAACAGAAGCAGTTACCGCCTGGTAATATACCATCCTCACAATCATTGCTATCTTTGAGCTCATTGTTGCAGCTCCTTTGTCAATCCATCTTGTGGGCATTCCTCTTTTTCTCTGACCAGCTACAATAAATTAATTACAGACATTAATATGAAGGAGAAAGTCAGTCAGACTGTCTACAGGCTGCGTTTTCACAGAGCAGATCACATTATGTGTCCTGCCCAAATGTCCAGGGGGTGAGGAGGAGAGGAGAAACTGGCACTGTGGATCTCACGGAGAGCGAAGGAAAACTGACCATGGTACTTTGGAACCAAAGAGAAGTTCTAAGTCCGGCAGTGTCAGTCCACGGTGAGACTCTAAAGAGGAGGAAGGTGTCTATAAAGATACACCAGGTAATGAGGTATAATGCTTATTTATGAAGAACTGGTATTAATGGGAGATTCATGTGTGGTTCATACATTCAACTGGGGATAGGCTTTCAGACAGCATACTCAAAGTGTCAGGAGAGCAATTTTAAATAATGCTACCTTGTTCTACCACAACCAAGAATTCTCTGGCCCTAAGTGATTTTTTCATAGAAATGTGAATTGGTGGCTACTTTGAATTATCTGGAATGGCTGATGTACTGTGAGATTTGGTTCGTGGCTGGGTTATTCCCAGATTAGTAGAGCGAAAACTCAGTGAAACAGCTGGGACTACCCACTTAACATTCTACCCTAATGTTACCAATTGGACCCCTTAGAGCACAATTGTTAAAGTGCTCGGCTTCTAACTGAAAGGTCAACAGTTTGAACTGCCCTGCTGCACTGTGGGAGAAAAGACCTGGGCATTTGTTCCTGTAAAGACAAACGCCTAGGAAACCCTATGGGACAATAGGGTTCTGCCCCATCCTGTCAGTCTTAATCAACTCCACAGTATCCCACCACCACACCACCACTACCCACATCTGAACAAAGCTAGAAGGAATGGTGTCACTTAAATGTGAACATTCAAACTTCAGAGGAAAGTAAGAAAGGCTTTGTGACTCTTCTACTCACTATCTTTATATTAGTGAATACAGGGTTTATTCTGTGACTTCCTATACAACAGTTTAGATATCTGGTCTGAGGGCGATCTTTGCTATTTATAATCAGAGAAAAGAGATACTCTGGGTGGTGACTACATTACGGAGCTAGCTACTCGAATGTCCATCGATTGTAGCTGTGCTTTTCTCACTCACATGAGATTTGTTGGAATGATACTGACATATTGACCTACAGGATTTATTCAATAGCATGTGCTATCATAGAAATTCATTTAAAATACATTATTTATGCTGAAATAAGCTCAAAATAAAAAGATAATATATTGTATGAGAAATAAACGCATTTGATGTTGACCACCCGTAGACCCCGCAGATTTTAACCGATACCACACTTGATCTTAACCAAAAGGCCGAGAAGCGATCCAAATTATAACAGAAACGAAAGAATGGCATGAAGAAATTTTTATTTGGAAACACCCAACAACAACAAATTGTAATCACTAAGCAAAATTTTCTAATACAAACTGTCACTCTTGTTTCATACAGAACATTTTCATTTTCTGCATTTGATAAATAACAATTTTTAGAATGAAAACACATTAGCCTAGTGTTCAATGACAGATGATACGCAACGCATTTTAAATTTAATTATGAAAAGCAGAAATCTGTTTTACTTTGATGTAGATTCACAATTTTTTTCCTTAATGCACTGGTAAATTCCTTTCCTCAGAATGCATTCAGGGGAGTGACAGGGGATTTAGCATGCACATGACCATCTTTACACCGTCCAAGTTAGGGCAAGACCTGAGTCAGTTTGTTTTGTGATCTCAGAGAGGAAAGTTGCATATAGACCCAAGGATGACAGGTGGAAGATGGGAAAAAAAACCACCAAAAACCAACCCTTCAGAGGAAAGAACACCCAGGGCTACATTCAGGATAGGTGACTACAGATGAAAACTGTTACAATAGCACTGGTTTTCTTCACAAATGCACTTCTAGAAAGGCGGATTCTCCTTTGAACAAAATTCCCAATAGAAAAGAGTTGGAGTCTTCAGAGCTGCGTGACAAGAGCTGTAGGACGGTCCAGTTGGGACAGGGCAGCAAAGAGGTAGCCATCATGAGGGTTCTTAAACTCTCCAGAGCCCATGCTGCCGGGTTCCTTAGCAGTACCTTAGATATCATGACTCTGTGACCAGTCATGAACTGGCCATTGCATCTTCTGCTCCAGAGACAATCATCCCTGGGAAATGGTACATGTGAGAAATGAGTTTGAATAAAGGTGCTGATCATAAAAATGGTCGCTCTGTGAAAAATGAGAATGTGCAGTATGCTGAGGGGACAATAACCTTCCACGCAGACTAAAAAGTGTATGAGAGAAAGGTAATGCCAACCAAATTTCCATGTTGGAATTCTCTCCTCTTTCCATGCAAGGATGGCAGCATTGAAGGCGAGGAAAAGCACAGAGAGGGATCCTGGAGCTTCCTGAGTTTCTGGCCACACAAGGAGGATCTTGGGTTTGGTGCACTGTGTTTGTCCGGCCATTTTGTTCTTTGTCTTTTTTTCCTTCTGGGAAAAATGAGAAATTAATAGATATTGAGAAAAAGTAGTCAGGGGCACTGAAGTTTGATATGAAAAGTTTCTTGGATGTAGTTCTGCAAAAATAACTTCAATACTCAGTGCATCCAAAATTTAAAAATTTCCCCTGTGAATCGTCCCCAACACTTCATGTTGTTTTCTTTTCTTTCAGTTATGTCTTGAATTGCACCACTGTGGATATTCATTTCAACAATAATCCAATTTGCATTGAGCCCAAATTTAGCAACTAATTTCTGAGATATAAAAATGTACTGGCAAAAGACGGGTCTATAAAAGTAGTCAATGGAAGGATTGTGATAATATATCACGCATTGGTCTTTTAATTTAAGAAGATACTAAACTGTTACTGGTCATTTTTGATATCTTCATGCCATTTAAAGAATAATGAATGACAGGAATGAATAGGTGAAAAGATACTGTGATATAGGTGTTTGGTACCCTGAGTATCTCCTTCTCCCACAGAAACAATCACACGAAGAGTTCACAAAGCTCTGGTTGTTAACACTGCATCCTGAAATCCTTTTTTTTTGGGGGGGGGATGCAACAACTGTATTCAAAGGAAAGTGTAATGTAACTTGTTGAAAGCTTAAAAGGAGGCACAACTTGGCCACCTCCTCTCAAGCGCAGGACCAGGTGAAATCCTTTTTTTTTTATTTTTTTACTGCTCTTTTCAATACAACTTTATTTAAAGCTGTTAATATTCAGCCAACTGAATACCCAGAACTCTAGCATTAACTAACTAACAAAGGTGTCAAAGTTATTGTTAGAAGCTACACTTTATAATGGATTATTTCCCATTATCCTATTTTTAGAATTATTTTGACATATACCCAGGCACATAAAGATGAATTAAGAGTATCTTTTTGCTTCCATCATGTACTTACTTTAAAATAAGTTTGAAAATTTACATGACCTCTTCACACATTTCATTTTTGCATTTGTTATTATGCTAGTATTAATATCCATTTAGATACTCTTTCCCCAAGTACTTAATTTGCACAAACTAAAAACACATTCTTTGCACATAATTTGGAAACAACTGAAATACCCACCACTCTAGTTATTCCAGAATTTACCTGAGAAAAGTAAAGTAGAATACGGAGATGGAGCTAATTCTTGTAAGTATTGTACTTAACGAAGACTGTGCTGTGTGTTTGCCATGAGTGCGTCAACCAAGGCTATCTTATCTTTGTGTGTCAGATTAAATGTCTTCTCCAGCCTCATGTATCCTCGTCTAGTTTCACTCTCTTTCAGGTAGAAGCAGTATGTTTGAAACTGCAATCTCCCCCCTCCCCCATTCCTAGGTCTTTTTGATTTCTCATCTGGTCAATGTACATCCAGTTACTCAGCAACTGACTGACCTTGGAGGTTATTTTCAAGTCTATTGCTGATTCCTGATGGCTTCTCTCAGTGGTGAGGTAGGCCACAGATTCAGATGGGACTCACCAGTCATCCACAGGGCAGTTGGCAGATACGTTAGCAATTTTATTAAAATGACAGTTTTGTTTTATTTCAAATAGCCAGGTGGTTTCAGGTCCTCCAAAGTGAAAAGGTGTATTTTTTAACATTTCCCATTGTTCTTGGAATATATATATGACTGAGAATTAATGACTTATCACCTGTTGTTCTAATGCCCCCATTATCTGGGGAACGTGTGCTTCAGCTTGAGCTGTTGGGGAGGCAGGAATAGGCAGAGACAGTGTGTCACTTAAGACCCCTGGGGCTTTATCTTCCATGTTGCACCTTATCTTCAGTTCCAAACATAGGAAACGGGAGTCCCTAGACTAATTCTTAGACTAGATGTGGTCTCTAAAACTGAAAGCAAAGGCTTTCTAGCTCCCCAAGGAGTCATTAAATCAATCCAAACTAAAAGTCTAGTTTCAAGTAAACAAGTTTTACATCAAAGGGAAGTAATCTTTCTAATGAGTGTGAAATGCACTTGCTTATGACTGCAATAAGATAAATCACCTTTGGCTTCAGATCCGATTCAGCATCCAGTAGGGCTGAATAACACAAGATAAGGGTACAAAATAATGATAATATAAAATAAGGGTAGCAGTTGTTGGTATTAATAGTAGCAAATTGATTCTGGAGTTGTGATTAGTGGGGAAAATTTTAGAGTCTCACCATCAGGATTGGAATGGAATGCAAAGTTATAGATTCACTAACCACATGACCTTGGGAAAATGATGTAATCTTTTCTTTCTATTTCATCATCTGTGAGGTAGAGATAATAAGAATGCTTTGTTCAGTATGTTGTTTAAGGGGTTAAATTAATTAAATATTCAAAAAATCCCTTACCTTATTGGTATTGTTTTCATGATATTTGTCTTACCTAATATTTATTGGGAAGCACTGGTGATGTAGTGGTTATGCGTTGGGCTGTTTACCATAAGGTCAACAATACTTATTGAGAGCTTCATTTGTGCCAAGCACAATTCTGAGCCCTTTATAACTAACATCTCATTTAATCTCTGAAATTTCTATGATTCCATCTTCTAGATGAGAAACCAAAGGCTTATTAAAATTAAATAACTAAGATTACAAAGTAAGTAAGTAGGTAGTTGAGCTAGGGTCTGAAACAGTCTCAGATCTTCCTTCTTAATGACATTTTGCCTCCTGGCAACAATAAGGCGCTTTTAAAATGATGCCATTGACTGTATGTGCATTTATGCTGCCACACACAAACATGGAAATATTGAGTCTATATGTCATGGTGCTGTTTGAAGGAAAGAAGGTCACACAACTAAAAAAGCCTGAGCAAGTACATGTGTGAACAATGATTTTATGTCGGTGACCATGTAACTGTTATTCTGTATGCTTTTGTTAACTTGTAAAAGCATTACTAATAGTATGTGCACATCAGTGAAAGTCTTCCATTGCTAGCCACAAAAGTGGACTCTGGATAGTTTCATCAGAATAGGAGTTAGCAGGAATATTGGAGGATTAGGTTTCAGGCTATGCCCCAAAGTCTTGTGAAGAACTGGTTTTGTCAAGATACCCCTAGAGTTGCTTCTGGGAAATGAAGGCTGCAGCCTGTATCCTAAGTGCCACTGGAATGGACACTAAGGGGATTAACATCAATTCTGCTGACCCAGTAGCTTGCCTTCATGATGACTCTGCTGTCAGGGACCCATGACACAGATTGCATGGATGTGTTTATGTCTGTAATATCCTGATAAAGAAATACTACTTTGGATTATCTTTTTGGCTAGGAGGAGTAGATCCAAAGGCTGCCACTTGGGACTTCCAATGTAATGATCGTTCTATTCCATGTATCAGGGAGCTATGTGGGGAAACCTGGAAGTTGCTGATGAAACACAATCTCAATAATAAATCTGGTGCTATTGGGCTCAAATTAAAATGAAAGTAGGTCAAAATTCCTACCTCAAGTCAGAGACCATCCCAAGAACAGATTTGACACATTTAATACTAATGACCAGAGTCCAGATGAATAGTTGAATAACAACATAAATATCGTTCATGAAGAAAGCAAAAGGTCATTAGAAAGTCAGGAAAGAAAGAAAAAGGTTAAAAACAGATGTCAGAATAGACTCTGAGCCAGAATCACCCAAAATATGGCTTCTCAAAGGAAACTGACCATAATGATGTGAATGGAGTAAGCTTGTGAGAAGTAGACATTTTGTTAGTCTGGGTACTTTAGACAAACAAATCCACAGAAACTCATATGTATAAGAGAGAGTTTTATATAAAGGTTTAAGTGCGCATCAAGAAAACATCCCAACCTAGTGCTGCTCAAGCCCACAAGTCCAACATTAACCCATATGTCTGACACCAATCCACAAAGTCCTCCTCCATCTCACAA